GAGTACCGATATATTTGTCAACCGATACCCAGAGGACGGTGGAGACAATGAAGGGCCGCACTATTGGGCCGCTGCTGCCGGCCATCTGATACAGTACTTAAGTCTATTGTCATCGGCGACTGGCAATCACATGAAATGGTCAGCGAATCAGTTGTTACGAAAGACGGGAGACTATATCTATGGGGTGCACATAGACCAAGATCACTTCTTTAATTATGGGGATTCTTATCCGCGAGAAATATACGATCCCTCTGTTGTTCTTGAATACGGAAAGGTATACAACGATAATGTAATGAAAGGATTTGCCTCTTATTTGAATGAATTGCGTGGACCTAAAGAAACCATTTTAAGTCGCCTTCGAAGCGGAGAATTGAATCAAATTTTCATACAATTGTCCGCAAATATACAGTTTGAAGGCATTGCACCAAAAGCTCCCCAACCTATTGAGTCGTGGTTTCCAGACCTTCAGTTGATTACATTGCGAACAAATGAAGGATCACCTAAAGGCTTATTTTTGGGGGCAAAAGCTGGAGCTAATTGTTTGTATTAATTATTAAAATAATTTTGTAAATTTTCAACTGTAAGAATATTGTTTAATTTATTTTAAAAAAATTTCTAAATTAGATGACACTCAACACAACCACAACGATGTGGGAAGTTTTGTTGTTTATGTGGACGGTTTGCCCGCCTTGATAGACATAGGAGTGGGCACCTACACCATTAATACTTTCAGTAAAGATCGATATAGTATTTGGACATTTCAGTCTCAATGGCATAATAGTCCAACCATTAATGGTATTCAACAAGAGTGCGGACCTCAATATAAGGCACAGTACGCCAAATATACGAAATTAGAAAACGGGGGACAATTTGAGGCAGACATCGCTGGCGCTTATCCTACAGAAGCACAAGTGAAGAGTTGGGTCAGGAAATGGGCTTTTGATAGGAAATTAAATACAATTACTTTGACAGAAACGTATAGTTTAAACAAGTTTGTAAAGCCCTCTAAAGTTCATTTCATAACCACTTTAAACCACAAGAATACAGAAAATGGAGAAATACTTCTTGAAAATGACAAA